CATTTTCTCTTATAGTCTGAGTTGCATGTGAGCATGAGAATCAGTGGCGTCTTAGTAGAGAACTGCACAAACGTGATTAACATTGTGACTTAGTAATCACAGGGCACACAATGGATTGTTGGAACCAAAAAATTGAGTCACCTTGAATACCTGGTCACTTATGTTTTCGAATGCTGAAAAAGTGCTTTTGTTTGGGCTGCATTTGGTGCACTAGGACCAAAAATGGTTCACAGGATCTGCCCTTGACATTGTCTTTGCAAGCCAGAATGATGTTTCTTAATTGTGGCACATTCAATAATTTTCAAAATGAAGTATATTTTACCACTCTTCACCTGGATTGAATCACTCCTTACAGGCGCATTAATCGGTCAACAACACACATGATCGTACCATCTCCAATGGTTTCCCTTCATTTTCCTTTCCTCATTCTAACTAATTTACTCCTTATGGGGTCACATTGATCAAATCATTCTTTTGTTTGGTCTATATATTGGAAAATTCAACAACTAACTCACTTTTGGTGTAACAGACATATCTGCAGTCCACAACAAAAAGATTGGAGGAGATGAGAGTCAAAAGGCGAGATGCAGAACAGTGGATGTCCCACCGTTTGCTTCCTGAGAGTCTGAGGGAGCGAATTAGGCGGTATGAGCAGTACAAATGGCAGGAAACTAGAGGTGTTGATGAAGAGTATCTGATCTATAATCTTCCAAAGGACCTTAGGAGGGACATTAAGCGCCATCTCTGTTTGGCTCTGCTCATGAGAGTGAGTTTCTTTTGCCTCTTCATTGTTATCTCTTTTTGGTATTTTAATTTTAATGTACCGTACTGTTATTATCATGAATCAAATCTCATCCATTCTTCTGGAATGTTTATAAGGTGCCAATGTTCGAAAAAATGGATGAACAACTGTTGGATGCAATGTGTGACCGTCTAAAACCGGTTCTCTACACAGAAGGCAGCTACATTGTGCGAGAGGGGGACCCAGTTGACGAGATGCTCTTTATAATGAGAGGAAAGTTAACTACCATAACTACCAATGGCGGAAGAACCGGCTTCTTGAATTCTGATTATCTCAAAGCTGGTGACTTCTGTGGAGAAGAGCTACTTACTTGGGCTCTAGACCCCCATTCTGTATCTAACCTACCAATCTCAACCCGAACTGTCCAAGCTCTCTCGGAAGTTGAAGCATTTGCCCTAATTTCGGACGATTTGAAATTCGTCGCTTCTCAATTCAGGCGACTACACAGCAAGCAGCTCCGCCATACTTTTAGGTTTTACTCGCAGCAATGGAGGACTTGGGCAGCTTGTTTCATACAAGCAGCGTGGCGTCGTTATGGAAGAAAGAAGCTTGAAGAGTCTCTTCGTGAAGAGGAAAATAGATTGCAAGATGCGTTGGCCAAGGATGGTGGGAGTTCACCGAGTTTGGGTGCTACCATCTACGCTTCTCGGTTTGCCGCCAATGCTCTCCGTGCTTTACGGCGCAATGGGACCCGGAGAACAAGGTTGCCCGAGAGAATACCTCCGATCATGCTTCAGAAGCCGGCTGAGCCTGATTTCACTGCTGAAGAATGATTAGTGCTGTTAAATTTCTCTACTGTTTTATCGGTCTAGGTTGTGCAAAATGTGATATTGGAAGCACACATTGATTAAATTGGTGGAGTTTCCTCGGGTGTATCATGTATGTGTATATATATACATATATAGTGTTGTATTGTGTGTGAATTTCCTATCGTTTTTCTAGTGATAATTGAGTTTCCTCTACCATGGGATTTTGCTAAATACTGAAATGTTGTCCATTGCTTTTCTGCTGAAGATTGGCATTAGAGTTTCATCTGCTGACTTCTCAAATAAAGGGAACATAATTTCAAAGCAAACATTCATAATAGCTGCTCTCCCAAGGTGCATTCAGTGGTAACTGAGAGTGAAATTACTTTCATGGACAAAACAGGAACATTAACTAGAAATTGGAAGGGGTGGGCTTTGCTCCAGTTCAAATATGAACTTAGGAGCCTGTGTAGCTCATTCTATTTAAATAATCTGAACTGTTTATTTTGTAAGATTCTTAGTGTATATCGGTCATGAAAAAAATTAAGTTGATTTGATAATCGTAACTTTTTCATTTTATCGTGTCTCTATAAGATGGATGGTTTGTTTGAAAAAACATATTTGTCTATTTTTTTTTAGAGATAAACGTCATGAAATGAAATAGTTATGATTATTGGATCGATCGATTTAATTGTTTTTTCATGGATAATATACATACAAAATTTTACAAAATGAACGATTTAAATCATCAAAACAGAACATGGCCCTCAAGTTCTCTAAAAAAGCCCAATCTAAAATGAAAAGGTCCAAGTGCACAGAGAACCAAATATAAGATGCACCGCGCAGTTTGTGTTCAATTCTTTTTATGCACGTGCCATAACTGCTAGAAAATTGTAAGCCAGTTGAAGCAGCCGCCTGCAAAATCGCAGGCATTGTTTAGCCAGCATGCCAAATTTATATGCACAAATATATATGTTTTACCTTGGAAAATGATGTCACATGACAAATTTCATCTGCTTTTTATTTTTATTATGTATCATACGATTCATTATATTTACGAAATAATAGAAACCCACCATCATGACATTTGTTGTGTGAATCCGAAGATGACATTTGTTGTGTGAATTCGAAGTGAATAACTGGTAAAATTCATCCTAGCTGATCCTGAGACAACACATTTTCTAGGTCAAGTGTTACTGTGCTCTTGGCAACTCTAAATTATATCATTTTTGAACTGCAATTTTGCTTCATTGTGAGCATGTGTGTATATATATGGCATGCCTCCAGGTGGTTTTAACAGCAAAGGGTTTATTATGAATCAAAAAAAAGAAAAGCACAACACAATGCAAAATAAGGGTTTACGGAAATCAAAATAGCATCTGTTAATCGCCAACAATTTCCCTCGTCTTTTCCTCAACAAAGACTATTTTCTGGGACCTCTGTTTATTCATCAGCAAAGTTCCATCACAATCTGAACAATTAAATAGCAATTTTAACAAAATAACTGATAACATCCTCAATCCACTAAACATGATGTCCCATAATCACTAGATAATAACACAAAGTCATCAATCGACACCTCAACAGCAAAAGCTCATGGCTGAATCTATGCTTGCTAAAACATCGCCTTCAGTTTATTCCCAAGTAGCTGCATTTCCAACTAACCCAAAACCAAATACGGGCTGCTAAAAATCGACTATGAAACACAAATTTGTTGAGCCGGGGTTGGCGAATCACGAAGAAGCATAACCTCCCTCTTGACAAATGATGGCAAGGCAAAGGCAGCTGTGTGAATCTGTCAAGCAAAACGGGGAAAAAAATTATTGAGTTTCAAATTTTCTATACAAATTCAACTGCATGTTCCACTACATGAACAAATGCTAACTTGCAACAGTAAGCCCCGGGCTTGGTATACATTATTTTTCAGGCACATGGTATACTCCCTCAGTCAAAAATTGTTTGTCGGGCATGAAAAATGAGAACTTAATAATAATATATTGTACCAAAATTTTAAATTTTTTTTTTAACCAATTAAAAGATCTCCTTAAGTACTTTTAATTTGTGAAAAAGATAAAAAAAAAAATTGAAAATTTTGGCATTAGAATACATTATTTTTAAGTTTACATTTTCCGTACTGGACAAATAATTTGACGTCAAGGCATTGTCCAGACCATCTACTGATATTATTTCGATATTCGTTTCCAACAAAGCCGCTATCAAGTTTAAAAGCCTACCAAAAAGAAGGGGAACCAAGAGGAGCATAGTGACATCCTCTTTTTCTTTTATTTTTATATAATATAAAAGCACTTTTGCTCTAAAATCATTTGAGTCAAGCAAGCTAATCAGGCTAGCAAAAAAGAGTGAATCACTAATATATCCAAGCAAAGGAATGGATAACACAAATTATGATTTGAGCAATGGATTGTAATTACCTCAGAGTTGTAAAACTTTAGTTCTCTTCGATACTTGAGTGCTCCCTCTACTTTTTCAATAGGATTGATAGGATGCATAAAATCCACAGGTGGCCCCTCCGTTGAGCATATAACAAATCCAATGACGCCACTGTATGCACAATAAAGAAACCATTTTCAAATACTCAATAGCATGAAACCTAGTTAAGAAACTTCTAGAGCTAAAATATTTTAGTAGACTAACTATGCCACTGCATCCACAATAAAAAAAACCATTTTAAAATAAGAATTAACCCATAGCATGAATTTGTTAAGAAACTCTAGAACTAAAATTGTGGAAAAAAATGAGACAGTTTTTAGTTGAGTTGATATTTATACCAAGATGCTGCAGCCTGCAGTTCTACAAATTAAAAAAGAAAGGATAAATCGATAAAATTATAAACCAGACTAAGGGCTCCATAAAATCAAATTGTGAGGTACATGGAAAACCCACACAAACATTCGCATTATAGGGTACCTTGGATATGTGGGAACGTTTGCCCATGCATAGTGGACAGAACCCTTGAATGTTTCACGGCAAATAGTGATCATATCCTGAATAAGATGCGTGTGAAGCCACATACTCTCCGCCATGTTACAAAGAACACCACCAGGTCTTAATGCTCTTGCTATTGTCTCGAAAAAAGGCTTTTCCACAAGTTCTTGGGCAGGACCTAAATCAAGAAAAGAAGCCCAACAAATAAATAGCTTTATTTCATTATGTATTTTTGGACATAAAACCCATCTCAAGTGGGCATAGAAGTTTAAATTGGACCCTGTTAAAATTCCACCTACTCCACCTACTACACACCTACCTACTCTACTCTTCTATATATAGGAATCATTGTAAACAATCAATAAATCAATCATCAATACATATTTCATTCTCTCTATTTTTCCATACATCAAATTTAACATGGTATCAGAGCAAGGTTAAGCACTTAGTATTTTTCGCTTCACCGGCGGGCGGCAACCTCTCCTTGGCCGCCCGCCGGACCTCAACCTAGTCCGCTAGAATTTTCTACACATACCTTGAAATTTCTTCGAGTCCACCCCCTTCATGCCCAACTCCTTCGAGTCGCTGTCCTTGACTCACCCAGTCAACCCAAACACACACTGAGCTTCACCATACACACACACTGATACACACACACGGCAGAAATCTCTCTCCCTCAGCTATCTTGCAGAACCACCACCACTGCCCCTCCTCTCACTGTTGTCCTCCCATACACCACCGTCTCGGTCGTCTTCATCTACCACCACTGTTGACCTTAACCCGTCGCTGCAGTCCCTTCAATCTGATCAACGGCTGGACACACACACCCAATGCAAATCTCTCTCTCTCTGATACAGAGGCACAAATACACAGAATATGGCAAGTTCTTGTGTGGGAATAGCGTGTTTGGTCATAGTATTGTGTTCAGCTGTGCCAAGTTTGGCCACAGTTTACACAGTAGGTGACTCGAGTGGATGGGCTATTGGTGTTGATTACAGCACCTGGACTAGCGGCAAGACCTTCACTGTTGGTGACAGCCTCATGTTCAATTATGGAAGTGGGCACACCGTTGATGAAGTGAGTGGAAGCGACTACAAGTCTTGCACAGTAGGCAATGCGATCAACACAGACAGTAGTGGGTCCACCAGCATTCCTCTCAAGGCCACCAGGACTCGTTACTTCATATGTGGTGTCGTTGGTCACTGTGGCAGTGGCATGAAGCTATCTGCCACCGCTGTCTTTGATAAACCTACACGGATACCAATCCTCCTTCCTTTTCTTTTTTAATCACACCGATCCACCGCCCAACCTTTATTTTCATTATTATAAACCTTAGTTGGTCTCACTTCCCCCAATTTCAATACCCACTTTCTCTCTCCTCCTTTATTATGTGAGACTGATGATGGGGTAGCCGAGCAGAGATGCTCCATTTTTTATCTATTTCTTTCCAAACCCAACACCCTCTCTCTCCACTTTATCACATGGGCTTGTCCCCTCTCTCTCCTCCGTTTGATTTCAAAATCAATTATTTTTATTTATTTTCTCAAAACCATTTTTAATCTCTTTCAAATATCCACTCTATAATAATATATCTTTTGCAGGGCATTACCCCCAACTTTCTTTTGAAACATCCATGTTCCCTTCGTCATCCACCTCACACCGATCTTTTTCAAATAACCCATCCAAAAATATTTTTTTTCTCTATTTTTTATTTTATTTTATTTTTATTATTAAACAAAACAACACAATAACACCAAAACCATTCCACAAACTTGTCATTTCTTCATGCCGGGGATCAACCCCGATCAAAATTTTAAACCAAAAAACAAAAAAAAAAAAACAAAAAAAAAAAAAAACAAACAAACAAAAAAACAAAACAACCACATTCACAGGCAGGATTTTTCTTCTCTAGATTTTTTTTCTCTACTCTGCCGCCGGTCTCTTCTTCTTGCCTCCGTCCTGGACGGCCCTTGACGACGCTGCCTCTGTGTTTCCCGCGCCGCCGAGCACGTTCACTCCCCCCTGCTTCTCCACTACAGCATATGGCGGACCTCCAAATCGGAACATCACGGTGGCTTTTCGCTTCAGATCCTTGTTTTCCGCCTTTAGCACACATATCTCTGCTCGCGCATCCTTATACATGCGCTGGAGCAGAGCCAGTTGGGCGTTTAACTGCTGCACCTCATTTGTCCTACTCTGAAGCCGGTGCGACAAGTTTGTGACTGCCGTCATCGTCTCCACACGACTTCAATGTATACTGATTGGCCTCAATATTTGATTATGCTGCCATTCTTTGCTCCACAGACCGCATAGGAAAGGTCAACGGAGCAAACTCAGGGGCGCTTGGTTGAGGTTCCAGGGCACCTGCACCAGTTATCTCTCTTGTGGACTCGTTGAGGTCTGGAAAGAGAATGAGTAGACAACGGGAAGAAGAGGCCATTTTCTGGGCAACAGAGTGTTACAGCGTATCTCTCTCAGAAAACGAAGAGTTTTTCAGAGGTTTCTCTCAGTTTTTTGTCTCAACCTCTTCCTCAACCTCCGTCTTGGTTAAATAGCCAAGGCAGACACGCGCATCATGCGCCGCTCGGCGCTAGCCGACAACATGGGCGCGCAAGCCAAGGTAGTCACGCGCTTCGCCATAATGTCCGGCACACCTTTTTATGGATTGGGCACGCCTTTTGATGGCACGCCTTTTGACAGATTGGGCACACCTTTCGAGGGTGCGACTTTTTAGGGGTCTGACAAGACTCTGTAAACTGTCCCGACATTGATTCCAGTTAGCTTTTACAGCGGTCCGGCATGACCCCATAAAATTGTCCAAACATTATCTGCTACAACGGTCCGACACGACCATACAGTGTCTTCTCCAACGGTGTGACACGACCATTCCGTGTCTTTCACAATGATTTGACACAACCATACAGTGTCTCCTATCTTATTTTATTTTATTGTCCTTTTATTTTCCTGTTTGTTACTCTCTCCAAACTCAAGTTGGTTTCTGTTTATCCTCCTTAAGTTTGAGGGGGGCTGTTAAAATTCCACCTACTACCACTACCACCTACTACCACCTACTACACACCTACCTACTCTACTCTTCTATATATAGGAATCATTGTAAACAATCAATAAATCAATCATCAATACATATTTCATTCTCTCTATTTTTCCATACATCAAATTTAACAGACCCTAAAGTCATGGCGTTCAGAATTATATAACATCTACCCATATGCATAATCATGTGCCTATATTCCAAATAGCAGAAAAATCAAGAGAAAACTAAGATAACCTTCCATATTGTGAATACATATGTTCCTAACTTTTAAGGACTAGAAATATAAAAGAAAAACTAAGACAACTGTTCATCAAATTTTTTTTTTGGGCATAGTTTGAGATCATGAAGCATTTGTTAAGTAACATTATGAAAATAAGACAATTCTGACAGTTGTGCATAAGAAAATTTACTGAGTGATTATTTCAAGGAATCAATACTTCAAACTTTTGATGAATAGGTGTCAAAAGAATAGGGGATCCTAACGTATAGGTCCTAATAAGTAGATTTATTGTCTAATAGGCTCTATGGAAAAAATTTGTCATAAGAAAACGTCACTAATTGTAAGTTTTGGCGACAATTTATAAAAATCATAACCAAAAAAAGTTACTAATTGTCAATTTTTAGTGACGTATGTAAAAAATTGTCACAAAAAAATTATTTTTAGCCACAATTTTATCAAGATTTATTTTCAATAGGACTTGATGGTAATTAAGTCCAACTATTAGGATCTATTAGTAGTTTACCCAAAGAATAGTCCATCAAATAATTCATTAAAAAGATTCAGAAAGCCCTAGCCTAGCCTTCAAAAAGTTACACATAATTAGATTTGCCTCCACCTAAATAAAAAGCACTGTAACAAAGGCAAATAAATAGGAAAAAGGAAAACAGGTAGAAAGTGTGAATTACAAACATACCAACAGGGTCTGATGAATCAACAATAATTGCATCATACTTTCCTTCAGGTACATTCCGTAAAAATTCAACAGCTGCCACAATAATGAAAAGAAGATTAACAGGAAAGTCTAGCTATATAATCAGCTGTACAATTAGGAGCGTTAATTACGTAAATTATTAATAACCTAGATTAATGGATCCATTCAAAATGGGGCAATAAGATTTCAAATGCATATATTCACTAAACTGCATATAAAAAATAATTGGAACATCTTTTCCACATACCATCACCAATATGTAGTTGCACACGAGGATCCTCAAAGCCAATAGCTAACTCTGGAAAAAAAATTTTACTAACCTATAAACAAGAAGTTGCAGCAACATACTTGTTACATAACAAAGAACACAAATAATATCTAATCACATGAATGGGTACATCATTCACCACATACATCTATAACCATTTTATCAATCTCACAAATATCAATGAGCTCCACAGTATTGTGGCGAGAGATTTCCCTAAGAACTCCACCATCACCACCCCCTACAACCAAAACCTGCATCAAGTAATTCAATTAAATTTGGCACACATACCTAGGGACAAACAAAATAATTATAGATTGCATAAACATGAAGAGCAGAAGATAGCTAGCTCTACCAACAATGTTTTCCTCAATCATTGGCAACTTAAATTACAAGTTCTCTTTCTACTTGTAAATATGATGAATTGAGGCTGAGAGTACATAGAAATACTATTTGTTCACAATTTAACAATGAGACAAAAACATGGTGAGTCTAATATTCAATTCTAGAATTAAATTTGTCATACAATGCCTTCAATCTAATAGAAAGAGTAAATTTTGCACAAATCACTCAAATACTATTTTGTCTGAAATTCCCTGGGAAGAGTGTGCGACATAGTGATAATAAAAGGAAAACCATTTTTAAATTTTTTGTTCTTATTTTGCTACTTTTTATATTAAGAAGATTAAAAAATGAAAGGGTAGTAAAACAGTGAGGAATATGGGCCCCTATAGACCCTGTTCCTCAACAACAATCCCTAAGGAAGAAGTCTCGTCACACTTCCACAGTAGTCCTCAAACCTCTTGGTAGATTGATAATCAAAGAGTATATTTTTTTCACCATAACAATTATGTGTAGTTGGACATTTAACTTCAAATGTATCTTTAAGTACATATGCTTATTAAAGTTCAACTAGAATAAAAGAAAAGAAAAAAAGAAGCTGCTATGGATTCAAAAGGTTCCTTAAACTTAATTGCATTATAATTTCAATAATCTAAGTATGGCCATATGTCATTTGAAATTAAATTTGAATAAAAATAGAAACAATAAACGCATCATGAACTATGGAACCCATGATTTATGAAAATTACAGTTTTGGGGGATTGAATTGAACAAAGGGGAAGATGAGTTATCATCTCCTGATAGACACATTCATCTTTCTCAGTCAACTGAACAATGCCATCAAGCACAAGAACTTTCCCATATGTTGAGGACTGCAAATAAAAGAACCAATATCACAGTATCAGTAGGAAATTCATAAATAAGACAATAAATGGCAGAAAAACAGAAAGCAAGTCATCACTGCAAAGAGTCTACTACTAGAAGATGAAAATGCTGAACCTCAAAAACCAGGATTTCTTGGTACTCGGATTTATCCTTGTACAAAATATTCTCTACTTTCATTGAGTGTGCTTCTCCTACAAGTGAAAACTCAAACTGACTTAACCATAGCCGTCGAATAATAAATCCTGAAAAACACTGACTAAATAAAAAGGGACAATTTTAATTTTAATTTTAATTTTTTTTTTTCTTCATTTAGAAGGAACACCAGAACACTCGCGTCAAGCCCTTAATAATATAAGCAAAGGTAATTATGAACAATCAAGATTTCAATTACAATTTATCATATTGCAAGCATGCCTTACATTACATCTAATAAAAAAAGTACATTCCAGTATATACATTCTAGCATGACTTTTTCCCCTCAAGGATATATTGACGAATGAATTATAAGTTTTCTGGCCTCTAATATGTTCCAAAGGTAACATGATTTATATAGGTGAGATAAAAAATGCAACAAAAATAACATATACCTGGCCACATTGGGTTATTGAAATAAACCCGCTTGCTAGCTTTACCTGTAAAAATAGAACAAACAAGAAAAGGAGTCAACAAACACCACCCTTCAACTATCATGAAGCAAAATAAAAAACCTGTACTACAAGGAAAATAAGGATGCTCGAAAAAATGTCCAACGGAAAAAACAGAAGCAAAGAAGTATAAAAATAACAACCAGAGCATGATTCAGGTTCGGAGAACCATCCAGAAACAACTGTTGAATGGCATTTAGCCTCAAGCTCAGTGTTTGAAGCCCTAGCCTTCAAGCAACAGGAAGGGATAATAGCCTTATCCGAATCATTCACATTGTCATTCGCCTTCCCATCCATAATCTTCTGGCATTCCAAACCTTTTCCTGCGCCGTCCTCCATATATTATCTTTTTCTTCTCCAGCTCCAGTCTCAAACCAACAAAAATGTATTCTAATGAGAAAAAATCATTGTCATCAACAACACTGCCGAGGCATCATCAATAATGGTGTCCACAAGCACAAAGACGAAAGGAAAATTTATTATGTGACCCTTTCTTGGATATAAATAAAAGTGAGAAATCCTAGTAGACAAAAATAAGCAAGTTTTTCATGTGACAATATTTTATTTATATTTTTTTTTGCTTATTCATCTTTTTGGATACAAATAAGCACACCGTGACAAAAGTGAGGAATCCTTTGCATACAAAGAAAGACATTTCAGCTTCCCTTAATATTGTGATTTGTAA